CTGTTTGCACCCACCCCCACCCCGCCTTCTGGTGTGCTGGGAGCGCGGCCCCCGGGTGTGCGCATCCATTTGATTCCAGCAGCGGCGGCCCCCAGCGCAGGGCGCAGGCCCCGCACGCCCTCCCCACCCCGCCTCCGTTTTCCCCTGTTTTCTCTCAGGACCGTGCCTTCAGAAGCCTGCCATGTAACACCATGCCCGACCCTTGTGGCGCCAGGGGGCATTTTGAGCGGTGCAGGCCCGGCAGGTTGCCTGGTTGTGCGAGCAATGGGAGGCACAAGAGGCGGGAGCGCCTGTTGGCCTTCCGTCGCGGGATCCCATTGCACTGCCAGTTACAATTGGCCCACCTTTCCTGGCTGTATGCCCTTGTCATGCCCAGATGTGCTTGTGGGAAGCTTCAAGTGCCTGGAGCTGCCGCACGGCAACGTGGGGCGGGGGGCAAGGGCGGGGCGGCGGGCACTTCAGACCGTCACACCGCAGCCAAGATCGCAGCTTTTGGAGGCCTTTGTACGCATGCATGCTGCGGGGACAGCAATCCAAATGAACCAATGTGCGGGCTACCTGTGCCATGATTTGGCTTTATCTCCCTTGTCAGCCCCACGCTCATCAGGCATCCTCCCGTCCTTCTTGGCCTGATCACCTGTTTTTGTGTTTCTTCCTACTCCCATCCCCGCTCTCACACGGCTCAGCTTCCCCCGTGGGCTGTCTGCGGAGGTGAGCTAAACCACCCACCCGCTGCAGGCCCCCCGGCACCCCGCTGCCGCCTGCTTGGTGCTGGGAGCAGCCTGTTGGGGGCATTGCATGTGCGGCGGGGCCCAGCTAGCGTGAATGTGAACCGCCTGCAACGCGTCCCACTGCCAATGACCTCCTGCAGGTGTGATCAGGAGCTGTGCACACAACCATATATGTTTCAGATCGCGCATGGAGGCCCCACGGGCCCGCCTTTGCGGCTCCCGCCATCCGTTCCGCCCAAGGTGGACCTAGGCGCTGCCGCGCACCATCAGGCGTCGCACGCCGCCGTAACCACCTCGCTATGCGGCTCGGGCTCGGAAGACGAAGATATGACGGTCAATGTGCCAGCGAGCAGGGGGACTACGCCGCGGTTGGCCACCCAGACCCCTCGGGCTGGGGAGGAGGCCTCCTTGGCTGCGGCATTGAGCGAGGACAGCCATTCCTTGGATGGGGTGGCGGTCCTGGCCGCGCAGCACTCCACTGCCTTCGATAGGGCATCGAAAGCCATCATGGTGGGTGCTGAGGGAAGCCATGCATTGGGCCTCTGCCTGCGTGCATGGGCCTCCACCCGGTCTGCAAGGGGCAATGCACCAGCCATCGCGGCTCGCAGGGCAGCCGTGTGCCGCCTGGCTTGAATGCATGCCCATTGAGCAGGCAGGATTCAAACGGCATGGGGTTTGGGGCCACCCTGTTTGGTGGCCCCAAAGTTCATTCCCTGTGTGCAACACATGCATGCTGCATTGGGTTGAAGACACCTTTCGGCTGCGTGCTGCTTGCAGGTTGCCGGCACCGCAACCACCGCCGCCGCGCATGCGCCAACGCCCGACCACGCCGCTGCTCCCCGCAAGCCGGCCGCCAAGGGCAGCAGCCCGCGCGCGTCGCAGGCGGCCGCGCTGCGGCTGGCGCCGCTGCCGCGCCGCCGCTGCGTGCTGGTTTCCAAGCAGCTGACCAACAGCGACGCCTCCTCCGGCCGCATCATCCTACCGCGGGTGGCAGGTGGGTGCCGCCCCTGCCTCCATCACTACTGCTCCGCATGCCACCCTTGCCTTGCGGCCCCGCCGCGCCTGCTCTGCCGACCCTGCCTGGCGGTGCGCCATGCTGGAGCCTGACTCGGCATGCTGGCGCCGCTGCCGCCGCCGCCTGCAGTGGAGTCCAACCTGTCGTTTGTGCTGGGATACCGCCACTATGCGCTGGCGGTCAAGGATTGCTACGGTGAGGCGGGCGCCGGGCCGCTGGCTCCCTGCCTGGCAGGCCTGGTGGCCGCGCCGCTGCCCGGCGCGCCATCACACTGCGTGCCCCGGCCCTCTGCGGTCCCGTCTGGGGGGCCTCTGCTTGGCCCGGACACACGTGCACCTCCTGCCGCCCGCTGCACCGGGCTGACTGGCTGCCTGGCGGGGCGTGCTGTACTGCTGCAGGGCGGCAGTACGAGTTCATGATCAAGTCGTGGGCCAACGGCACCGAGCACCGCCGCGTGTTTGTGCTGGAGCAGGCGGGCGCGTTCCTCAAGGCGCACGGCGTGGGGGTTGGCGACGCGGTCGGCATCTGCTCAGACGAAAACGGTGAGGGGCTGGGCTGGGCGGGTGGAGGGAGGGAGGGAGGGAGGCGTGGTGGGGCGTGGGCCCTGCAGGGCCAGGCGCTGGAGTATAGAGCCGCCCGCACTGCTGCCTGCTGTGCCGCCTGTTTTGTTTTTTGCTGCCGCCGCTTGATCCCTGCCCTGCCTTGTGCTGTTCCACCCCTGCCCCGCCCACCTCGCACTGCCCCACCCCACCCCCACCCCCTGCTGTCCCCTCCCCGCAGGCGATCTGGTGGTGGAGGCCAACAGCGAGGAGGTGCGGCAGGCAACCGTCACACCCAAGTATGGGGGGGCCGCCCTGGCGGCACCTCCCCCCGGCTCCACCGCCGCCGTGCCGCTGGTGGAGGGCGCCAGAGGGCGCTGCATCCGCTCCCCGGACTGCACCAAGGCTGCGGGACACCCCGGCTTCTGTTCGGGGCCCAAGGCGGCCGCCGCGGCGGCCGCGCGGCAGCAGGCGGCGGCCAGCCGCGCAGCCGCGCAGCCGGGGGCCAGCGAGGGCAGCGCGCGGGGCGGCGCCGCCGCCAGCAACAGCAGCGGCGAGGAGGCGGCGACGCGGCTGGGCACGCCGCGCGGCCGCGCCGCCGCAGCCAGCACCGCAGAGTGCGGCGCCGCCGCTTTGGCGGCGCTGCCTGCGGGCCTGCACCCGATTGCCCACATCCCCTCTGGCCTGCGCCTGACCAAGGTGCTCACCGCCTACGACCTCACCAGCCGCCGCGTGGTGATGCCTGTGCCTGCGGTGGAGGCCGGCGTGGGCGCCGCCCCCACCACCGACCGCCTCACGCTGGCCGCGGTGGACGAGAGCGCGCGCTGGCACTTCCCCACGCTGCTGGCGTGGACCAATGTGGCGGGCAGGCGGGGATACCTGCTGGAGGGGCTGGCGGGCATGCTGGCCAACCGCAGCGCCCGCGAGGGAGACACCCTGCTGTTCTTCCGCGACGCAGATAGCCAGCCGCCGGTGAGGGCGGAAGGGCGGGGGTGTGGCGCATGCATGGCAGGCAGCGGGCCCGCCGCCGTGCGCAGCAGCGCGTGCGCTTAGGGGGGTGCATGCACTGCGCGCTGTGGGTGTGTGGCTTGCTTGTTTGCACCAAGGTGTGGAGGCACCCGCTGCAGGCGCTGATCGTCCCTTGCTCCGCCCCCCGCCCCCTCCCCGCCGCTGCGCAGCGCATCGAGCTGCGTGCCGCGGGCGCCGCCCCCGGCGCGCCGCCCCGCCGCCCCGCGGCCCCCGAGCCCTCCGCCCCCCCCTTTGCCTCGCTGCCGCTGCTGCTGCACCCCAAGGGCGAGGGCCCCGCCGCCGCCTCGGGCCCCGCCGCCGCCGGCGGGCGCGGGCTGTTGCCGCTGCACACCAAGCGGCGCGCCGCGGCCGGCGCCTCTGTGTGCCGCCGCACCACCACCTGCACTAAGGCGGCGGGACACCAGGGCTTCTGCAGCGGGCACAAGGGCTTCAAGCGCCGCGACTCGCCCACCGCATCCTCGGCTTACGGCGCCCGCAGGCCCTTTGCAAGGTGCCCCGCCGCTGCCGCCGCCGCTGCTGCCGCTGGCTGCCACTGCTGCCACTGCCTCGGGCTCTGTAGCTCTGGCGCCGCAGCGCCCGCCGCTGCCTACTGCCCACCAAGCTTGGCCTGCCATCCCGCCGTGTCTGACGCTGGCGCCGTTGGTACCGCTTGATACTGCAGGTACCGCGACTGGGTGGAGGAGGATGACGAGTACCTGACCTCCGACGACGACTCCTCCTTCACCGCGGCCGCCCGCCCCAAGCGGCCGCGCCGCGCCTCCGCCGCCGCCGTGGCCGCCACCGTGGCCGCCGCCGCCTCGCGGGAAGGCTCCCCGCTGCCGCACGGCGGCCGCGCGCCCCACGCCTCCGACCCCCTCCTCTCCCTGCTCAGCGTGCTGGACTGCATGGAGACGGGCGAGGCGGCGGCGGCGGCCGCCAGCGGCGCCGCCTCGGCCGCGGTGCAGGCGGCGGTGATGACGGCGGAGGCGGCGGCGACCGCCGCCTATGGCGCCGCCAAGTGCGAGCTGGTGGCGGCCTGAGCCTGCGCGGCTGGCAGGGCTGGCGGTTCCCTGAGGCCCGCGCCCTGCCGGCCCCAGATGCACCCGCGCCGGCCCCCAATACCCCTTGCAGCCGGCGCCCCTCTCTGGCCGCTGCCGGGCAGCCCGCCCGGCGGCTGCCTGCTTGCATGCCTGCGCGGCTGACTGGCTGGTGGCCAGCCGCCTGGCCCCCTTCCCTTCCCTCAAAGCATGACATCTCGTGCGAGCGCCTTTGATCAGAGCTGATCCAGTCTCTTTTTGGTGAGCGTTCCCCCTTGAACCTGCCCTGCCCTTACCCCCCCCACACACACACACAGACCTGCCCACCCTTTTTCCTGCATCCCCTTCCCCGAGAATACGCTGCCAGCAAAGGCAGCGTTTGCATACAACGAATTATATTTTACCTCAACAAACGATCGGCACTGCCGCTCCCTCCCCTTTCCTTTTCATCAGCTTTAATCCCAACTTGTCCGCCTTTTGCACCGCCGCCGGCCCCCCTGCGGCACGCGCTGACGTTTTCCACCTCTGCACGTCCTCCCCCTCCCCTTTTGTGCCCCATCCTGCATTCACACACTTCCGTCCCCTGTCAGCACACAGCACAGCAATGCATCGCTCAACAACTCCCCTTGGCTTGCACGCCTCGCGGCGGCCTGCGCGCCGCACGCGGGGCCGAGGTTTTGTACCCTTACCGGCGCTCCCCCTACCTCATCCCCCGGATTGTGCAACATTCCTCCAGCAGAAGTGTTTTGTGGCATTTCATCGCCCTGCCCCTACCCTTGTACCAACATTTCATTTCGGCGGCGCGGTGCCCGAGCTGTATCTGCCTCTGCTCGGCCTGCCCGCCCGCCCGCCCGTCCGGTGGAGCTGCCATTTTGGCCCCTTGACGCAGTGCCCCCCTGGCGCTGCCTCCTGCCATTCATCCGGCATCGTGCCGCCCGCGCCCCCTGCCCACGTCGGTGGCAGCAGGGAGCGGGCGGTCTGCCGAGAAACCTCCCTCAGCAACAACATTGCACTCATTCATGCATTTTGCATCATTTTGTAACATAGCAACTGACCAGCCAGCATCTGACACAAACAGGGGAGAGAGCAGACAAGCAGAGGGACCACCTGCCTGGCCGGAGGTGGCGGTGGTGCGCTGCTGAAGTGGCGCCCACCTCGTCAGCAGTCCTCCAGCCTTGCTGCAGCTGTTTCATGGCGACTGCCGCCCTGCGGGGGGCACCACCGACCTTATGTTGGCCACTGGCGACGACGACTTCGATGACTTCCAAGCTGCTCCTGGGCAGTATGGAAATCCTCCTCCCGCTGCCCCATTGACTCCTGAGGTTCCTATCCCGTCGTTGGGAGCCGGCAAGGAGGGCACCCGCCAACCCCTGGCTAGCAACCTGTTTGGAGGAGGGGATCCAGAGGAGGAGGAGGAGTGGGGCGATTTTGCGACCGTGCCAGCCAATGGATCAGCCGCCCCGCAGCACCAGAGCCTGCCAGCAGCGGCGCCTGCACGGGCGGCGGCGCCGCCTGCTGCCGCCGGCAGCCGCGGAGCCCTGAGAAAGCTTGACGCCGTCTGGTACCTGGATGGGCGGACGGGGTCATGGGTGGAAGCCAAGGTGTGCCCTCCACGGCCAGCCAAGGCCATGGTGGTGTTGAGGCATGCTGCCTCTGCCCCCCCCCCCGCCCCTCCGTGGGTGTGCTCAGCTGCTGCCTCTGCCGCGGGCCTGCAGGTCGTTTCTGTCGACGTCTCCATCCAGCCCCCCAGCTACTGCGTGCAGCTGCGCAGCAACGGCGCGTTCCGGGAGACGGAGCGGCACAGGCTGCGGCCGCTGCTGCCGGGCATGCCGCCACCGGCAGGAGCGGAGGAAGGGCCAGCACCAGCCTTCGCGGCTCACCCTCCCGCCGCGGGTCACCCTCCCGTCCCTGTGCACAGCGGCGCCAACGGGCATGCCATGCCAGCAGCGGCAGCAGCACCAGCACCAGCAGCAGCGCTAGGTGAAGAGGAGGATGAGTTTGGAGACTTTGCGGCAGCTGCTGCACCGCCGGCGCCGCCTCCCATGCCCTCGTTTGCACACACACACCCAGCGGCTGCCTCTGTGCTGCCAGCAGCACCACGGGCGGCGCCAGCCTCGCCATTTGTGGCGCCCGCGGCCCCAGGGGCAGCGGCAGCGGCGCCCGCAGCGGCGCCGCCGCCTGGCTCCCCTCGCCGCCTGCCCAGCAGACGGTCCAGCACAGGTGCGGGTTGGGAGTGCGCCTCACGTGGCCTGCAGCCCAGCAGCCTGCCCCAGGGCTGCCCTGCCAGCCAGAGTTGCTTGCATTCACTCCAGCTGCCCCCTTCGAACGCCCCTCCCATGCCGCAGACGCCGCCTCGCCCGTCCTGCAGCGCTTCCGCAGCTTCCTGCACGCAGCCGCTCCCGGGGTGGCAGATCAGCTGGAGGCGGAGGAGCGGCAGCAGCAGCAGGTGGCGGCGCAGCAGCAGCAGCAGCAGCAGGAAGATGAGTTTGGAGAGTTTGAGGGCGGAGGCTTTGCGCCGGCGGCGGAGCAGCAGCCGGCACCGCCGGCGCCCGCGGGGGTGCAGCGCAATGCGCCGCTGCCTCTGGATCTGTTTGGAGATGAGGGTGTGGAGGATGCGCCGCTTGAGCTGGCGGCAGCAGCGCTTGCAGCACCAGCCCCGAGCTCTGCAGCAGGCGCACTGGCGCACACACGGCAGCAGCATCAGCAGCAGGCGCACGGCCCGCCGCCGCCTCCGCAGCAGCACCACCTGCCCACCACACTCACCGACCCAGCGGGCAGGCTGTTGGCTGTGGATTATGCCGACCGCTTTTTGCGGGCGCCGCCAGGCGCTCTGCCGCCAGCATGGGAATCCACAGCAGAGCCGGCGCCAGCAGCAGCTGCGTCGCATGGGCCAGCTGTGGCTGGTGGCATGCCCGTGGCGGCACCAGCAGCGGCAGCAGCTGCAGTGGCAGGAGGCTGGGATGAGGGCGAGGATGGCGGCTTTGATGACTTTGTGGGGGCTGAGGGCGAGGCCCAGCCGGTGGCTTCCCAGCAACCAGCGGCACAGCTGCCCGAGCCGGCACCTGCAGCCGGCCCAACAGCAGAGCCGGCAAGCAGCGAGGAGGGCGGTGTGGCAGCAGCAGTGCCTGCACCGCCGCTGCCTCCTGCGGGGGTGCAGCCGGGCACGGTGCTGCCTCTGGATCTGTTTGGAGATGAGGGTGTGGAGGATGTGCCGCTTGAGCTGGTGCCAACATTGGAAGCACCAGCACCAGCACCAGCCATGCTCGCAGCAGAGGCTGAGCACGCAGAGCAGCCGGCCGCAGCGCCAGCCAGTCAGCTGGAGCAGCAGCAGCCGGCGTCGCCGCCTCATCAGCAGCAGCACCCGCCCAGCACACTCACCGACCCAGCAGGCAGGGTGTTGGGTGTGGATTATGCCGACCGCTTTGTGCGGGCGCCGCCAGAGCATGCAGCTGAGCCGACAGGGGCAGGCAGCTGGGAGGAGGAGGAGGAGGAGGATGCCGGTTTTGGTGACTTTGCAGCCGCTCCAGAGGAAGCTTCAGTTAGAGATGCACCGCAGGAAGCGCAGCTCGAGGCTGCTCCTTCTGTGGGTGCGCAAGCCAGTTGGGACGATGGCGCGCAAGCTAGCAGCAGCTTGGAAGCACCACCGCCCTCTCCACCGCCGCCTCCCTCGGGGGTGCAGCCGGGAATGGCGCTGCCTCTGGACCTGTTTGGAGATGAGGGTGTGGAGGATGCGCCGCTTGAGCTGGTGGCAGAGCCGGCGACTGGGGCTGGCGGTGTTGCAGCAGTGGCTGACCAGGTGCAGCATCAGGCATGGGAGGAGCAGCAGGCATGGGAGCAGGAAGAGCAGCAGGCCGAAGGGCAATCCGAGCTGCCCTTGGCAGGGGTGGTGGCAGCAGCCCCAGCAGCAGCCACTGCAGCAGCAGCCACTGCGGTGGCAGCAGCAGCGGCCGGCGGGTGGGATGACGACGAGGACGGCGGCTTTGCTGATTTCATGGGTGCGGAAGCAGGTTTTGCTAGCCTGGACCAGCAGCCCAGGGAGCAGCAGCTTGCAGAGGAGGCTGCCGTGGAAGCTGGCCCGCCAGGTGGCAGGATGAGCAGCGACGGACTTGTGTTGGAGACCACCGCAGCGGCGCTGCATGCGCAGGGCGCTGGCAGCACGCCTGCTGACGACGGCGGCAAGCCAGGGCTATCTTCAGCTTCGCCTCGGCAACCGCCGGAGCAGGATCAGCCGGATTCTCCTCAGAACGGCATCAGCAATGACGGCAGCGGCGGCAAGCCTGCGGCGGTGTTGACTGTGCTGCGCCCGCTGTCTGCTCGCAGCAGCCTGGAAGGCGGCAGCCGTCCAGCTGAGCCTGCGCCTGCGGCAGCGCCACAGCAGCCTGGCTGGGCTGCAGCAGGGCCGTCCCTTGGGCCAGCTGGCGCCCATGTGGCGCCGGGCGAGGAGGCAGCGACAGAGTATGCAGTCGTATGGGCTCGGCTGCTGCAGGTTGGAAGCTTGCTGGAGCATCTGCGTTTTGCTAGCTGGGTTGCTAGACTTGTTTGCCTTGTTTGCATGGTAGTGCAGGGCTGCACCGTGTGCTGGCGTAAGCCGGCCCAACCTGCCGCTGATGCCCCTGCCTGCAGGCCGCGGCGCACCTGCTGCAGGCCTCTGTGGCGGTGTGGGCGGATGCCAGCGTCGCGGGCAGCTGGCCTGGGCTGGAGCAGCGGCCAGAGGTGCAGCAGCACTTGGCCGCAGTGGGGCAGCTGTACTGTGCGGCAGCCATAGTCAGGTGCGGGAGGCGCTGCAGGCCCCTTCCTGCTGGCTTGAGCAGTGCAGCCCGCACGACACACATAGCACGCTATAGATTGGACCGGCTGACTTGCCGTACTGCTTGCTGCCCCACCGCGTGCCCGCAGGCTGGCTGCGCAGCAGCTGGGCCTGTTCTCTCTGGTGCCGGAGCTGCAGGAGGCTTGGGCCCTGGCTGAGACCGCCTGGCAGAGCATGCCCCCAGCCGCCGCCAGGCCAGCAGCGGAGGAGCAGCCTGTGGCGGGCGGCTCTCAGGCGGGAGGCGTTAAGCTGGAGGCGGCCGAGGATGCTGGAGGAGAGGAGCAGGCGCGGCAGGAGCCGCTCGCCGCGCAGCAGCCGCCGTTCCGAGAAGCGGCGCTGGCGGCATCGCGGGCCTGGGCAACCGCCGCGGCAGCCGGGAATGGTGGTGGCAGCTGCGCCGGCGGCTTCAGCGATGCGCAGACTGTGCTGGAGATTGTGCAGGGCGCTCCCGCGCGGCTGGACGGAATGAGCCTGGACGACTTCCCTCGCCTGCTCGAGTGGTCAGAAGGGCTGTGCAGCCTTACGCTGCTGCCGCTCAGGTGAGCCAACCCGCATGCCTGGCGCGCCTGCCCCTGCCTGGCCTGGATTGCTGTTGTCAATATGAGCTGTATAACCTTAAATGGCTGGGCGGCTCCACCTCATTTTTGCTGCCCGCTTCCCTCCCGTGCCCCTCGCCTGCAGCCTGTTTGAAGGCCGCCTGCCTGTGGAGCCGTGGGTGGGCTGCCGCCCATGCCTCGTGCCCCTGGCCAACCTCTGGCTGCACCGCGTGTCACACACACCGCCCCAGCTGGACTGAACGCCCGCCCCACCCGCGCTGCTGCAACAAGTTGCCTCACTGTGTATTCTGGCTCTCCAAGTGATTGCCCTCGCGGTGCGGGGCATCGACTCCCATTTAATGCCACGGTTTTGGTCCCTGCTGCGCCCCTGCCTGCCTTGCACCAAAAGGCTGCTGCTGGACCGCATCAGGGCAGGGCGTGCGTCGCTGGCCGGCACAGCATGGGCAGCAGTTCAAATCGGTGGCCAGGGGAGCGTCGGTCACAGCAACGCAAGTGTCGGTCACAGCAAGGCGAGTGTGGTTCACAGCAAGTCGGTGATGAGCATGCCGGCGGCTGGCGTCTCCCGCAGGCGCACGGCGCCCCGCTGCGCCATCGCCACCGCCAGGTCGGGCAGGGTGAACCCAGTGGCTTGCAGGCAGTCGCGCCGCCTGCGCGCGCCAGCGGTGGGCAGGCCGGTAGGCAGAGGAGGCGGGCAGGGCAGGCGGGCAGGCAGGAGGGCCGGCAGGCCGGCAGGCGGGACACGAGGCAGCGGCTGCGGCCTGCACGCTCCACATGCAACGACCCCCACCACTCCCACCACTCCGAGCGGGCGCCCACCTTCCCAGCAGATCCATGCGCCGCCGCAGGGCGGCCGCCTCCACAGGCAGGCCCCGCTCCGCTGCCAGCTCGTGACAGGCATCCAAGAACAGGCGCTCCAGCCCGGCTGGCACAGCCCCGCAGAAGCCGCGGGGCGGGCCCTCATCCAGCGGCGGGGGCAGCCCATGAAGCAGGCGCTCCCGCTCATGCCAGCCAATGGCACCGCCAAGGCCGGGCGGGGGCGGCGGGCCGAGGTGCAGGAACGGCGGCAGGGTCAGCGGTCCGAGGTGCATGAATGGGGGCAGGGGCATGTGGCCGGTGTGCATGAGCTGGGGCGCTGGGGGCGGCGGCGACGGCGACGGCCCAGGCGGCCACCCCGCAGGGCCAGGCGTGGGCGTCCGGCGGCGGCTGCTGCCAGGCTCCGCGATGGGCGGGTGCCTGCCGCGTGGATCAGGGCTGCAGCGCCGCGCCCCGGCCGGTTCCGGGCTGCGCCGCCGTTCCGGGCTGCGGCGCCGCGCCTCGCGAGTCTGCCCCGCATCCGGGGTGCGCCTCCCTCTCCAGGATGGCGGCACAGCCTGCCGCCTGCGGTCCGCGCCAGCGGAGCTGCAGCCATCCTTGCCCCTGCGCCCGCCGGGGCTGGTGCTGCGCCGCCGCTCGCCCCGCTGGCCGGCGCTGCCTGGGCGCTTCCGCAAGGGTGACGCCTGCTGTGGGCTGCGGCTGCGGCTGTGGCGTCGTTTGGCGCTGGTCGCCGCGGCTCTCTCCCCGCTCTGCTGCCTCCGCTGCTCACGGCTGGCGGGGCTGCGGCTGCCGCGCAGGCCACGCCTGCCCTGGCTGCGGCTGTGACTCCTCTGGGCGGCACGGCTGCGGCCTGAATGGCGGGCGCTGCCTTTGGGCTGGCTGCGAGCGGGGCTGCGGCTCCGCCTGCCGTGTCCCCTGCGCTCCTGCTCCCGCCGGCTGTGCGCCCTGCGCTCCTGCTCCCGCCTGCTGTGCGCCCTCCGCTCCTCTTGCCGCCTGCTGCTCCCCTGCTGTGGCGCGTCGTCGCCGCCGACGGCGCTGCCCCGGTGCTGGCTGCTGCTGCCGGCCGCCACCTGCGGAGCAGCGGCGGCGGGGTCGGCGGCCCCTCCGCCGGCGCTGCTGCTGGTGGGAGGCGCGCCGGGCGCCTCTGCCACCCCGGCTGTCGCCGCTGCGCCGCCAGGGCCCAGCGCAATATAGCCAGTGGAGGAGAGGCCGCTGGGGAAGATCTGCAGCTGGGGCTGCTGCTGCCGCCACTGCTCCCCGCACATGGCGGCAGGCAGCGGCACGGCGAAGAAAGGCACCACTGCTGGCGGGTGCACCTGCGCCACCACGCCCCTGCCCTCTCCCCTGGCAAGCAGGTTGGCGGGCCAGCCCAGCTCCTGGGGTGCGGCAGCCGCTGCTGCCGCTGCCGCCGCTGGCTGCTGCTGCGCACTGCTGTCTGTCTGCGGTGCGTGCGGGGCGTGCTGCCCCAGCCCCGCGGCTGGCCCCGCTGGCGCGGCCACCCCCTCAACAGCTGCGTCAGCTGCAGCCTGTGCTGCGTTTTGCCTGTGTTGCTTCTTGCCCTTCGTTGCCTCTGGCGGCGGGCTGGTCGTCCCTGGCGGCAGGCCCGTCCCAATTTTGCGGCCGCCTGCACGGGCCAGAGGGGAGCCAACACACAATGCGGGCGGCCTGCTGAGCGGGGCAGCTGGTCAGCTGTGCCTGCGTGATGAGACTTCCCAGCACAGAACTGATGGAAAAGGCTCGGCTGCCGTGCACGCGCACCCAGCCGCCGCCGCCGCCGCCACCCACCCGGCAGCACGTGCCCATCCATCTCCGCTCTGGCGCGGCGCCGCTCTGCGTCGCTGCCAAACCGCACGGTGCCGTAGCCCTTGGGCACGCCTGCCCCGCCCACCTTGCAGGCCATTGCCAGGCTGGCAGACTGCACGCTGGAGTACCGCTCCCTGCGGCACAGCACGCTTTGAGGGTGAGCTGGGCCCATGCCAAGCCGCCACAGCAGGCTGGATCGAGGCTGGGCTGGCGACAGCCGCCGCCGAGCACGTGGCAACCGAGCATTGCTTCTGCCCCCCACCCCTTCACACACACACCTGAAGTAGCGAAGCAGCTCCTGACTGCTCATACTGTCCCCCACATTCACCACAAACAGCGGGAAGCCGTCGTGGGCAGAGACATCCCCGGCCGGTGCCTGCTGCTGCGCCACGGCCTGCGAGGGCTGGTGCTGCGCTGCCGTCGGCTCTGCGCTGGAACCGTCCGCCGGCGCGCTGCACGGCTGGGGCGGCGCCTCGCCCAACGGCATCTCTACTGCGATTGAGCACCCAGACCACTTGCGCCCATGCATCTGCAGCCACACACAGAGCCAGGGCAGGTGGAGCAGGCATGCAGCACTCACGCCTACACGGGCACAGCCAGCGCAGCAAGCAGCTGGCAATGGGGCATGCATGCGTTCAGAGTGCCTGCTGCCCTCCCGCAAGGCGGCATGCCCGCCCCCAGGGTGCCCACCTCGCGCACCGCCGCATCCCGCTCTGACCGCAGCCCAAAGCCCACAAAACCTCGCTGCACAGCGAGGCCAAAACCCCTAGCCACCAGCCCCGCGTCGGCCATGCGCTGGGGGACCAGGCTTGCCCATAGCACCGAACAATACTGCTGGCTGCACAAGCGGCATGCGAGGCGGCTCATTTCACGCACATTGGGTCGGTGGGTGTGGATCCAGGTGCTGCCATTCGTTGTGCACGAAAGGGAGCGGCAATGGTGTGCCACCCATACCCTACCTGAACAAATCAGCCAGTGTTGCTGCGGTGGCGTCGGAAGGCATCCCCTTGACATGCAGCTTGAAAGTCGGCGGCAGCCCCGACGGGCTGGGCCCCATGGGCTGCTCGGCAGCGGGAGCGGCCCCTGGCTGCTGCTCCGCCTCGGGCAGCGCCACTGTGATCGCCTTGCCGCCCAGAATGCGCCCGCTCATCTGCGGGGCAGGTTGGCAGCAGCCGCACACGCATCCCATGTGCGCGGCAGCACGGCGGCCAGCTCCAAGACGGCACCACCAGCGTGTGCAGCCCAACCACGGGCGGCCGCACAGCTTACCTCCCTGGCAGCCGCATCCCGCTCCTCCCTGCTCATGAAGCGCACGCTGGCGCACTGGCGGCAGACCTCGCCCCGGCTGGCGAGCGGGGCCCACACCTTTGCCGAGTGGACAGAAGGGTAGAAGCCTCTGAAGAAGGTCGCCAGGCTGCCGTGGGTGCTGCCAGAGGGCAGCCCAAACACCAGCAGCTCCGCAAACCTGCCGTCGCTGGGCGCCTGCTCCAAGGCTATCGGCGGGGAGGTGGCCGCCGTAGGAGACGCCCCCGGCGAGGGCGCATAGCCTGCCTGCAGGCCGCTTGGGTGACGCTGCGGCAGGTGCACCTTGAGCAGGGCTGGGTGCGGCTGCATGGGGCCTGGAACTGCTTCTGCCTGGCTGGGCATCGAGGCAAGAGATCCAGACGGGTGTGGTGGCGCAGAGCAGGCTGAGGGGTGATAGCCAGGCACCACTGCGGCGAGCAGGCCAGCAAGTTCAGCAGAGTCCAGCACAGGAGGCTGCAGTGGCGGGGCCTGGCCGCTCTGCTGCCGCTGCGGTGGCGCGTGCTGATGTGCGGCCGGCTCCTGATGGTGTTGCTGCTGCCGCTGCCGCGGCTGCTGGCGGGGGTCGCGCTGGCCTGCAAAAGCAGATTGCCAACTCACCAGCCTCAGCCCAGACCACGGCAGTCACAAAACAGCAACGCCGCGAAGGCCCTCGTCCCCCCCGACTTAAAACCCTGGGGCCCCTGCGCAGCTCACCTGGCAGGCGCAGCGGAGGATCCAGGCTGTTGGCCTGCGCAGTCAGCATCCTCGCATCCTGCATGTCCGCCGCCAGGCGGCTGCCGCGCGAGCGGGGGCAGGCCGCGGTGAGCCTGGCCGGCACGGCTTGCACGCGCCGCGCGCGAAAGAAGTGCTGACGAGTGTTGCGAGGTCTGGCCTGGGCACCTGCCCACTCCCGTCCCCACCCCCGACCCCCAGCCACACACGCCTGCCACCACCCACCTGATGCCCATGTCTTGCAGGTACTCCTCAAGCCTCGGCGCCCAGGCCAGCACCACCTTGACGCGCCAGATGGCGGCGGCTGAGGTGGCGCGGTCGATCACCACCTGCCCGCCCGCCGCGGCCAGCTCCTGCTGCAGCCGCCGCAGCTCCGCGCGCCCCGTGGCCTCGTACAGCGCGTCAGCACCCGCGACAAACGGGCTGCTGTCCGAGCAATCCTCGCCCCTGACGGGCTTGTCCACGCCCTGCCGGGTCGAGCGGCGGAGGCGCATGTGGTGAAATGCAACGGTGCGGCCGGTGGGCTTCCGGCTCCCACCCCGCCCAGAGGCAGCCTGCCGACGCAGGCAGGCGCCTGCCGCAGAGCAGGCAGTGCCCCCTCACCTCCAGCTCCAGGACAGGCAGGCTGCCGTCATCTTGGAGATGCGCCGCGGTGATGCGGCGCAGGTGGTAGGCGCCCTTCTGCTTCACCCGCACAAAGGCGCCGGCAAGCACAGCAGCGGTGGCTGCCTCGCCCACGTGGCCTGGCTCAAGGGCGGGGGATGGACAAGAAGGGCGTCGGTGGGGGGGAGCAGAACAGCGGGCGGTGGCGGCGGGGAGGTGCGAAACCCCCTCGGTTGCAACGATGACGGCGAGCTGCCCGAAAGCGGTGATAAGGCGCAGTCCGCCGCCGCCGCCGCCGTCCCGCCGCTGTGCACCAGCCAGCGGCGGAGCCGAACTGGACGCACCTCGTAGCTTAGTTAGCACAACCTGGCACTTGGCAAGCTGACTGCGCCTGAGCTGCAGCTCTGACAGGTTCTTGCGCGAGGCCCAAGCCCCCTCCATTGCGCCTCATTTACACTCCATGATGCACTGTGCAGAGGGGAAAAGTAAAGGATGAAGGATTGGGGGGGATGTTGCCGACCCTACCGCATCTGCAGCAGTTCAGCAGGGCACCGCCGCCGCCAACCGCACCCTCCTTTAAGCAACCAGTGGCGAAGTTGCTGAATCACTACTATCGAAGTTCTGAAAGGCTTGCAGGTTGCAACTACAAATTTCGCACAGCGAGTACTCCCTCTGCTGTCTTCCCCGCTAGAGCATACACCACCGCTCGGCACCGGCCACCACAGCCATTGCCCCCTTCCTCCCCCACCTGGCCTTCCTCCCCCACCTGGTAGGCAAGTGCAGTTGCCACATTACAAAAAAATTGGTTGCAAGAAGAAAAGCACGGTGGCGAGTGAAGGGGCTGTTGGCCTAGATGGGGGACAGCGCAAGCCGCCAAAGCGGAGCGGTGGCTGGGAGAGTGCAAAATTTATCTCAGGTGCTGTAGCAGGCCGAGGGCGATGAGAGGGATGTAATGAGAGATAATTGAAGTGTGTGATGGTGGCGCTGGGTGGCAAACGGAAAACAATATGAAAGCCTGACGCCGTTCATGGGAGGTGAGGGATGGTGCACGTATCGGGAAAAGAGGCCATTGCGCAGGCCAGGTATGAGCAAGTGCTGGGGAGGAAAACAAGCAGCCAAATCGGCCACACTGACAAGGCAGCCAGACATGATTGGAATGCATATGAAAGTGGGAAAGAAAAAATGGGGTGGGGTGGGGCTGAAAAGAAGACCTTGAGGCCGAGGCAGAGCTCATTCGTTGGATTTGCAGGAAACATGCCATGCTCATCCTGACCATCAGTCGGGATCAGGGATCCCGACTGATGGTCAGGATGAGGGCATGGCATGGGGTGACGAAATAACTGTTCGTTCCAGTTGCCTGGAACATTTTGTTAAAAGAGCTGGGGTTGGGCTATGCAGGGGCTGGCTGTACGGCAGCCAGCCTGTCGGCGGCGCTGGAGGCCTCACCAAACCCAGTGGCTGCCGCCGCTAGCAATGGGTAGTTGAAGCTGATGCTGCGCCGCATGCCGGCGCCAGGCGTCTCCAGACGTAGCGTGCGCAGCGGGATCCCGTCGCTGCTCTTGCGCTTGGGCTCCTTGGCAGCGGCGCAGCTGCCACTGCTGCTCCTCCCCGCGGCGCCCAGCAGGTTGGTGGTGGTGCGGTCCGCGGCAAAGGCGCAATTGAGCAGCAGCATGCCCAGCTCCTGCAGCAGGTGCCCCGCTGTGGGGCGGTCCGCGGGGTTCTGGGACAGGCAGCGCATGGTCAGGTCGCAGACAGCCTGCAGACGGGGTGGGCGGGGTGCGGGTACACATCAGTGAGCGGTCCGGCAAGCATGTGTTTGCACGCTGCTGCCTACCATTGTCAATACCAAGCCGTGGGCCTTAATGCGCTGCCTACCCTACACACGCACACACACCTGCGGGCACTCCTCCGGGACCCTGGGCGTCCTCAGCCTGCCCCGCAGCGGCGTCTCGCCCGTCAGAATCTCCCACAGCAGCACTGCACAGGAGGGGCAGGGCGCGGCAGGACGGGGTGAGGTACCCGGCGCAGCCTGCGGGCGCTGCGGGGCGTGCAGCGGCAGCAAGCATCCCGGATTGGCTGGCAGGCACCCTTCTCCTCAGTGCGGCCCCTTGCCAGCAGGCACACAGGGCCCTGGCTCACCTCCATAGGAGTAGATGTCGCAGGCGAGGGTGCAGGCGTCGTCGGTACCGTTGGTATCCAGCAGCAGCTCAGGCGCCATCCTGCGCCAGGGCAGAGCAGCAGCGCGTGCGGCCGGGGTCAGCCCCTGGCCTGAGCGGGCCCTTTCTCTGCCCCTCTGCAGCTCTGCCCAGCCCCGAAGCGGGGGCGGCTGGGGCCGTGGTTTGGCTGGCACATGTGGCAGGCCTTGTGAGGCTGCGGGGCTCACCAGGCAAAGGTGCCGATGCAGCGGGCGTCAGCGGATGCGGAGCTCATGAGGTCCTTGTGGCGCGACAGTCCCACGTCAGACAGGCGGGCCTCGCCGGACGCGGTCAGCAGCACGTTCCCGCTCTTCACATCCATGTGAGTCACGCCCTGCATTGCCAGACGACGGTCGGAAGCCCTGAGCAACGCCGACCTGCACCTGCACCTGCACCTGCTATGCCGTGCCGCCTGCTTGCCGGAGCATCCTCCAGCCGCCCAGGCCAGCGTGCAGTCCACCCAAGGCGGCCTGCGGGCAGCACCGGGCCTCCGCCGGCCCCCCACCTTGCTGTGCAGGTAGTTGATGGCCTTGGCGGTCTCGTAGGCGATGCGCCGCCCGCGCCGGTACCATGAAAACAGGCGGTCGGTGCTGCCTGCCGCCGTCAGCTGCAGCGCGCTGTGCAGGTCGCGGCCCTCGCAGTACTCCAGCAGTACAACCCCCCTGTCCTGGGTCAGGGACAGGCCGAAGAAGCCGACGATGTTGGGGTGCCGCAGGTGCTGCAGCAGCAGCGCCTCCTGCAGGTGTGTGTGTGTGGGTGGGGGGTGGGGGGGTGGGCACAGGGGAGCCGCTTGGACACACAACACACGGTACTCAGCACACGGGAAGGGGACAAGCCCCGCGGAGCCGCCTTCCCTGGCCCCGCTGCCCCGCCTCCCAGCACATCATCTCACCCCCTGGGGCCCCCAGCGCACCGTGATGAACGATTCCCGCATCTCGGGGCTGCTGCCCACGTCAATCTCCTTGGCCGCCACCACCTCGCCGTTGAACAGCGCCTTGAACACGCGGCTGCTGCGGCACAGCAAGGCGGGGGGAGAGCAGAACCGCGGGTGACAAGCGGCGTCGACGGAGCAGAGCGGCAAGCGGGCAGCCGTACCCGTCTTCGCGTGCCTGCCCGCCTGCTGCCAGGGCATGCGGGCGGCAGGCGCAGGCCAGGGCGCTGGCGAGGCTGCTGCGTGCGTGGGCAGGGACGCGGCCTGCTAGCCCACCTGGCACCCGCGCCCAGCTGCTCCAGGCGGCCGTTGGGTGCGTGCAGGTACTCCACAGCGCACGGGTCGATGAGGGAGTGCACCAGCCGCATGGGCAGGCCCAGCCCCTCGCCGCTCAGCAGCACGTGGTCCGAGGCGGTGGAGTAGCGGGGGGAGGGCGTGGGGCAGCCGCAGCAGGCGTCGTCCCTGGGCGTGGGAGCGGCAGAGGCGGCCGCCGAGGCGGCGCCCGACGAGGCCTGGTAGGCCGCAATCAGCTGCATCAGCTTGGGCAGCGCCGACGCCTGCCGATCAAAGGTTCCCGAGTCGTTGGCGCTGGTGGCGGGGGTCAGCATGGGGGGCGTGTCCGCCTGCGGCAGGAAGCTGCCGCGCGCCTCCGCGGCCGCCGCCACCGCCGCCAGCGACCAGCGGCCGCACGTGCCGTCGTCGCCGGCCAGGCCTTCCCCCGACATCACCGGCGGCAGCGGCAGCGAGCGCAGGTGGCCGGCCATGGGGGGCGCGCACTGGCGCGGCGCCCGGGGGGGCCTGCCGCCATTGAAGCTGCTGCTGGCGTGGCGGGGGCTGGCGGGACTGGAGGAGCGTGGCGGGGAGAGGGAGCGGGAGACGGCAAAGGGCCGCCGCGCCGCTGCAGCCATGAAGGGTGAGGCGAAGGTGGGGCGTTCCCCGGGCGCCTGCGAGACTGGTGCGCCTGTCGAGGCTGGCTGCGGCTGCGCAGGGCCGTCGATGCTCAGGCTGGCCTGCAGGTCGCTTGGGGAGGGGCGGTCGCTGCAGGGTGCGGGGGTGACGCAGCCGCTGTGGGGCTGGCCGTCCAGCCAGCCGCTGCACTGCGGGCTGCCGCTGGCAGGCCTGCACGCCGCCTGCTGCGTGAGCCGCGCCAGGCGCCGCTGCAGGAGCAGCATGCGGGCGCAGCAGGCCGCCAGGGCCGCAGAAAGCACGGCTACCGCAACCGCTTGCCAGCTTGCTACTACCCCCGCAGCTGCCGCCGCCGCTGCTGCCGCTTCCGTGCCATTGGCAGCGGAGCAGGCTCCCTGCAGGCAGGAGAGGGGCAGGCATAGCATCCTGGGTTGGCTGATGGGCGGAGGGCCATGGGAAGTGCGGCCCAGCTCCACAGCTCCCTTGGGGGCCCCAGAGCGGCTGCAAGGGGCCGGTCCCGCGGGGCAAGGAGGCCAGGCTGACAAATTTTGTGCCGGAGGCCTCCCTCCCGCCTCCAAACGCATCTCAGTAGGCAGAGGCGATGTTGGCGGGTTTGGAGGGAAGGGCGGGCGGCGTGTGCTGGGGCTTCGTGCCCGCTGCCGGCATTACCACCCTCCAGAGGCCACTCCGGGCCTCCCTCATGGCTGAATCCACGCTCACCGTGCTGCTGGGTGTAGTGCTGTGCTCTGAATGCGATAGAGGGACGTGCCGTTGCAGAGCGGCCGCTGCGCAGATAGAGTGACTGCTCGCCAGCAGCGCCGCCAGAGCCGCTGCTGCTAAAAGTAGACGCGGTACAGACATGGCTGTGAGTTCCGCGTGGATGCAAGTGCAGACCGAACGGAGGGCCACTTGGGGACGCCGTGTTGGTGCCATCAATACTTTCTACCCGCCCCGTCCGGAAAAGTGACCGTTTCGGTCAAGCTCCTCCAGCTCCAAATCGCTCTCAACTGGACGGAAAGCACCTCTCTGGGCTTCCAGGGGCCCAAAGGAAGCTAGCGTACCCCCTTTAGCTGCTGAAATTCAGGAGGGCGGGCGGCCGAGCGGCGCCGCCACCCCTGTGCTGCCGCTACATTCTGTCCATTGCGTCAAAGGAAAGACAACCAGAGTGACGAAGGCTAAGAAAAGGCCAGGTGGAAGAAGAAGGGAAGAAGAAGAAAAGCAGTGCTGCGTATGCGTGGGGCATGTGCTGGCTCGCCGCAGCGGCAGGCGAGCAAGCCGGGGAGGGGAGGGAGGGCAGGGGAGAAGACACGGAGAATGAAACAACCGCAGCTCAGTCGTGCTGCGCTGCACGCATTGTGTGCACCTGCTGCACCCAGGGCAGCGCCGCCCGCACGGTGTGCAACCACGCCTCCTGCCAGCGGCACGCCTCCACATCCTCCGCCACAGCGGCACCCGCGTCGACGCCATGCTCGCCCGCAGCGCCGCCATGCTCGCCGGCTGCGGCACGGGGGACGCAGCAACAGCAACAGCAGCAGCAGCAGCAGCAGCAGCAGCAGCACCTCCGTTAAGATCTGGAGCCACAGGCCTGGCGGCCCGCAGCCAGCCTGCGGCCAGGCCAGCCGCTCATGTGGCATTTGCAGCCAGCGCACGGCTCCCCACCTGCCAGGCACCGCCGCGCAGGCTGGGCCGACCCCAGGCCCAGGCGCCGCAAGGAGCGGCAGCCCTGCAGCGCCGTGGCCACATTGGTGGCCGGGTTGCCGCACAGCTCCAGCTCCGACAGCTGGCTCAGCTGGCTGCAGGCGGGGGAGGGGGAGACCAGCACGGGCGCCACGACGCAAGCGATCAGTCAAGCGGTCAGTGTCATTGGCACCCCAGCTGGCGGTGGGCTGAAGCTGGGCAGCACAAGCTGCGCCCATCACACTCACCCCAGGCGTGGCAGGCGCACCACGCTGTTGCGGGGCAGGCCCAAGTAGCACAGGCCTGGAGGGCATGGGGTGGAGAGGGGGGCGAGCGGGCAGTGAGAACCGGGGTGGGAATTGGCAGGTTATGCCCTTTTCAGCGCATCTCGATCTTGCCGTGGCGTGGCACCAGCTGGGCTGCACAACCACGCCATCCAACTTGGCACGGGGCAGGGCTGGGGCCCAGCTGCTGCCAAGCCGCGCCACCACCCTGCCGCTGCCCGCACCTGTCAGCTGCGGCACCTGCTCCGGCAGGGCCAGCAGGCCGCAGCTGGGCAGGTCCAAGCGGGTCAGAGTGGGTGCCAGCTCAGCCAGCTGGTCGGGCAGGTGCAGGCTGTAGAAGCTGCGCTCCCAGGCCAGGCCGCTGATGCGCAGCTCACGCAGCGGCAGCCTGCACCGCACGCACGTCGAGGGCGGCAGTGGGCCAAGCCAATGGGACCCGCCATGCCGTCACGGTGGTGTTCATGACAAGCCCAGCCAAACACACATGCCACCGCAGGCAGAGGGCCTGCCGGAGCTTCCCAGCAGGCGAGCAGGCAAGTCCCCAGCCCCACCTGCACCACGATGGCGGCAGGCTGGGCAGGCCCACGCAGTCCAGGTGCAGGCGGGCGAGGTGGGGCAGCGCGCCGCTGGGCAGCTCTGGCAGCTGGGACCAGGCGCTGTTGGGCGGGTCTCCATAGTACACCGCCCCCTCCATCTGCGCATAAGGGGAGGGCAGCAGGAGATGGAGGGGGCGGCGAAAGGAAAGCAGCCCTCAAATGCAGGCAGCCGAGCCAGGCGGGCAGGGGCTGAAGATTGGCCTCTCGCTCACAGGCCAACCCACAACAGCATCCACCTCCGCCCAGCCCCGAATCGCACCCTGATGTGCAGGCTGGTGAGCGTGGGCAGGGCCAGCAGCTGGGGCGGCGGCTGCCGCGCGCTGTGCTCGCTCTCCTCGTAGCGAAGCTCCAGCAGGCCCGGCAGCAGCGCCAGGCTGGACCACAGGGCCGCTTGCTCCCCCGGCGCCGCCCGCACATGCGCGAGCGCCACGCTGCTGAGCTGGCACAGCGCGCTGGCCGCGGGCGGCAGCGGCGCCACGCACACCTCTGCCGCCGAGGCGCGCCCGCCCAGCAGGCGCAGCTCCCAGCTGCGCAGCTGCCGCAGGCGGGCCAGCCCGGCCAGCTGCAGCCGCCCGTCGTGCTGCTCCACGCTTTCCACCCCAAGCGCCAGGTGCCGCAGGCCCGGCAGCCCATCCGCGACGCTGCCCAGCACGCCTGCCAGCATGCGGTAGCCGCTCAGGCTGAGGCAGCGCAGCGGCAGGCCGCGCAGCTGCTCCACTAGCAGCTCGGCGGAGGGGCCGGCCGTCACTGCACAGCGACGGCAGCGGCAGTGGCAGGGAGGATGGAGTTTGTGTGCTTGGTGTGCCAGCCGGCCCACAGAACAAGTTGGGATGCAGCCCGCAACAGCTCCCGTGGTTGCGGCAAGGCAGGTGCCAGCCTTACGGCCGCAGCAAACCGCCCACCTGGGCCGTTGATGCGCCTGCTGAGGCAGACCTCCCGCAGCCTGGGCAGCGAGCGCAGCGCCGCCACATGCTGCGCCTCGGCGTTGTGCAGCTCCACGCAGCTCAGCTGCGGCAGGGGCTGCGCCTCCAGCAGCGCCGAGGCAAACACGCAGCCGTAGGCGCCAAAGTCGAGCACCAGGGCTCTCAGGCCCTCTGCACGCTGGCGCAGCACGCGGGCCGCCGCTGTGGTGAACTCCAGGCGGCTGCTGTAGATGGGCCGCCGGCTGAGCCGCCCGCCCAGGTGCGACGCCTCGTCCACCGCGAGCCGGGGGCACAGCGCGGCATCGATCAAGAGTTTGAGCCGATGGCAGACCAGGCGCAGCGCTGGCCTACAAGGGGATACAGATCGATCGTTTTAACACAACATAGGCAATGGCGGGTTGCGGGTGCGCACGCGGGCGGTGGCGGAGCGCTGAAAGCTCCATCAGGAGCGCCCAACCGCTGCCATCCCTGTTCCATCGCCTCCAATGCCACGCACAGCTGCTGTTGAGGCACGTGGGCAAGGACGAGGAGGCAGGGGCCGTCGGGGAGAGCCAATAGCTGCGCCTCCACCTCCGCCGGTCTGCCCGATACCCCTCCACCAACTTCCATGGCTGCAATCAAGTCGAGCGGGTTGTCGAGCGGGGCCTGCGAATGGCCCCAGCCACTTTAGGCAAACCCCGTGGCGTGCCTGCTGCCTTATTGCGCCCTGGCTTTTTGGCCCGATTTGCACCCGTGCCGATTGGATTGGACATTAATCATCATATTGCTGCAGATGGCGGGTGTGTAAACGCATGTTAGCGCTGCGGCCAACTTTCTGCCAACGAGTCAGGCTCTGCACGCCCCGTCTGGGCCCAGGCCTTCACAACAGAATGGCAGCAACTGCTGCAGGGCCTGCCGCAGCACCGCCTCTGGCGGGCACCGCCCGCCGACCACGGGTCGCGGTCATCGGCGCCGGCTTTGCGGGTGAGAGCAGGCCGCGAGCTCCCGGTCTCCTGGCACACCGGCAGCGAAGAAGGCAATACAACTGCCTTCTCTCGCCTGCAGGCCTAGCCGCCGCGCTGACGCTGGAGCGCTCCCGCTGCTGCGACGTGGTGGTGCTGGAGGCGAGCGGCCGCACCGGCGGACGTGCCTGCACCCAGCGCCTGTCTCCCGAGCTGGCTCTGGAGCTCGGGGCCACATGGTTCCACGGCCTGGGCAGCGATGGGCAGCCCAACCCCGTGTTCCGGCATGCTGTGCAGCAGGGCCTAATTGGGAGCGCGCCAGAGGGTGAGCGGAACAGCGGCTGGGGACGCCACTGGCGCCCGCATGCACGTGCACGGCCGGACAGCAAATAGCGCCGCCCAGCCCACCTGCGATTTAAAAACAGAAACAAAGGTACCGTGCCTACATGCACGCAGGCGAGAAGTGGTGGAGCTCGCAATTCCTGCTGCCGGGCTCCAGCCAGCCCCTCAGCAAGGCGCAGCAGATTGCAGTCACACACGCCATTGCCGCCTGGGCAGAGGCGGTGGATGAGCTGCCGCGGGATGCCGCCGGCACCACCGCCGACCATCTGAGGGTGGCCTGGCGCCGGCTGCTGGCCTCTGGCCGCGCTCCGGAGGAGCTGGAGGAGCTGGCGCAGCGGGCGTGGCGGTGGCGGGAGCACCTGCAGAGAGCCATGGACGGATGTAACAGCACCGCGGAGCAGAGGTGGGCGGGTGGGTGGTGCTGCTGTGCCTGTGGCCTGCATGCATGGTTGGATGCCGTGCGCACAGAGCCTGCTGCAGCCTGCCGGTCGTTGCCACCACCCTGCCTTTGCCTCCCTTTGCCCGCCTTTGCCTGCCCGCCTTTGCCTGCAGTGCCCAGGGGCTGGCACTGTATGAGGAGATGGCCGGCGGCGTTCACGCCCCGCTGCCGGCCGGCATGCAGGTGCCCTGGGGGATCGCCAGCTGCCAGGTCCCGCCGCCAGCCCCCCCCCTGCTGCTGTGACATGCCCTCGCCACCCCTGGCGCCTCCCGTTGCGGCCGACCCCTGCAGGCGGTGGCAGAGGGATTAGCAGCTCAGCTAGGCGACGTGCGGCTGGGCCATGCGGTGTCTCGCATCACGTGGGGCCGTCCTGGGGGCGTCACCATCGCCTGCCGCAACGGCGCCACTGTGGAGGCAGACGCCGCCATTGTGACTGTGTCTCTGGGGGTGCTCAAGGCACAGCACGGCACGCTGTTCGACCCGCCGCTGCCGCCGGCCAAGCAGGCGGCCCTGGAGCGCCTGCAGATCGGCACCGTGGACAAGCTCTTCCTGGATTTCACCCCGCCAGGCATGCCTGCTGGCACCAGCAGCACCAGGCAGAGCAGCAGCAGCGGCAGCAGCAGCAGCGGCGGCAGCGAGGGCCCTGTCGTGTCGTATGCCCTGCTGTGGGCAGGCCCCTGGGATGCGGCCGCCAGCGGCAAGGAGCACGCGGCGGGCAGTCGCGCGGCGGCGCCGGCGACCAGCGAAGATGAGGCGCAGCTTCCGGAGTGGGCCAGGGGGGTGTTCAGCCTGCGCTTTGGAGGGCCGGAGGTGAAGCGGTGCCAGCAGGCTGCCGACCAGCAACAACCGGTTGGTGCTCACGGTGTCGGTGACGGCACAGAGCAGCAGCAGCAGCAGCAGCAACAGCAGCACGAGCTGCAGCCGGAGGAGGAGCCGGCAGAGAGCGAGTTTTCGCCCTGCTCAGAGGCGGCACAGCCCACCTGCTACCAGGCCGTCGCCTGGGTTACAGGGGCTGCAGCAGCGGCCATGGAGGCGGCCTCCGATGAGCAGGTGCTTGCTGCGCTGCGCCAGCTGGCGACGTTGTTCCCGCAGCTGCAGCTGCCGCCTGGCGCCAGCTGGGATGCCGTCGAGCTGCACCGGTGAGCGAGCCTCCGGGTGAAGTGGGCTGTCCCGCGGCTGTTTTGGGCGGGGACACCGATGCATGCTGTGCCCGCTGCGCCTGCAGGTCACGCTGGGGCTCAGACCCGCTGTTCAGGGGCAGCTACAGCTACCTCGGGGCAGGGTCAACCCCGGCTGACGTGGCAGCCCTGGCGGCGCCCTTGTTTGCGCCAGCAGGCGGCAGCGGCGGCGCTGAGGCCAGCGGCGGCGCTGAGGCCAGCGGCGGCGCGGCCCCTGTGCTGATGTTTGCGGGGGAGGCCTGCCACGTGAAGCACATTGGCACGATGCACGGCGCGTATCTAACAGGGAGGCACCAGGCGGAGCTGCTGGCGGCGGCGCTGGCTCCAGAGGCTGTGGAGCTTCCACAGCAGCAGCAGCAGCCCCCGATGTAACATAAAACCATGCCAGGGCAACGAGAGGCAAATGAAATGCAAGTGCAATGAAATGACCAATGTCAGAGTGGAGCTGCCGGTGCCATGCCTGTCGGGCCTGCTCACCCACTCCCCCACGAGCGGGCACAGCGCCTGGGCCACCCAGCCGGCCAGCCGCATGCCTGCCTGCTAGCTACCCAGCCCGCCCACAGCATCCAGCAGGTTCTGGACGGGCCCCTGCCGCGTCACTGCAGCCTGCGCCGCAAAGCCCAGCCACGCCACCATGGCCAGCCGCCCGTTCTTGATCTCCCGCACCCGCATCGCCTCGTACCGCTCCGCATCGCCCGAAAGCTGCAGCGGGTCAAACAGCCAGCCGCCTGCACGGGGCACCCACAGGGCGCAGGCAGGGAGCTGAGGGCGGCGGGTGGGGGTGGTGAGGGGCCATCCCCGAGCGAACAACAGCAAGACAGCCTGGCTGACACACCAGCAGCGCCCAGCTGGTGCCATGGCAAACAAAGCGCCAGCCCCTGACGGCGAATCGCGCGCCCGTCCCACTCCGCACCTGGGTAGTTTTTGTCTCCCGGCAGGAAGACGCCCAGCGGCTCCAGGGCCGAGATGCCGCAGGCCCGGGCATACTCCGGGCCAAACATGAGCAGCACCTGCGACCACCGGGCCACCAATTTGCCTGGCGGGGCGGCAGGGCAGGCAGCCAGCCCTGGCGCGGCAAGCCAGCTGCCTGCTCTCCGACCCACCACACACACACACACACACACACACTACACACTACAACACCCGGCCCACGCACCTGGCAGAAGGCGATGATGGCCACGCCCTGGCCGCCCGCCACCCTCAGCCCCGGTACGCCGAGGTACGCCAGCTCCTCCCCCGTGGTCAGCTTGGCGTACCCCACATTCCACCACCGATCCTCCAGAAAGGTGGCAGACCCGGCCAGCTGCAGCAGCTCTGCGGGGCGGGTGCCGGGGCAGGCGGGGCGGGGCCGCATTGCGCACGTGGAGCGGGTGGGGTGGCCAGGCGCTGGGATGCTGGGCCGGGCTGAAGGTGACAGAAGCACGTGCATGTCCCGCAGCGCTGCCGCCGCCGCCGCTGCATGCAGGCCGCGGCGTGGCGGCGGCGCGCCCACCTGGCACCACCGCCCCCAGCGCGCCCAGCATGGCCCAGCGCGCGTGCAGCAGCTCCAGCTCCACATACCGGTCCAGCTTGGCAGGGTCGCGCCCCAGCCCAGCAGGGTCCCACCCATAGTCGCCAGGCAGCTCGCCGCTGCGGCAGGGCGCAGAACCAGCAGGCGCAGTCGGCGGCCAAGGGTGGGAGGCAGGCGGCAAGCGCAGGCTGGGGGGCGGCAGGTGGTGGCAGCCAGGGAGTGTGGCGTGCATGGCCACGGCTCATCAATCCCGATCAAGCCAGCAGCGGTGAGCCGTGGAGCTCACCTGAGGTGCTGCGGCGGCTGCGTGCTCAGCGGGCCCAGCCACAGCGGGCGGGCGGCGCCAAACCATGGGCTGCAGGCGGGGCGGGCAGCCACGCACGGGGGTGGTGTCATTCAGTCAGTGGGCTGCTGCTGTGAGCCTTGCAGGCAGGCCCTGCTCCACCGCTGGGGCCAGACGGCAGACCAGCGCGCCCGACCCGCACCTCTGCTGCCGCGCCGCCCGCCGCTCGGCCTCCTGCTGCGCCGCCTGCCTGCGCAGCAGCGGCTTCTGCGCCTCCAGGCCAGCCAGCAGGTCCTTGCCCAGCTTGCTGTCGGCCAGCGCCTGCACCGCCACGAAGGGCAGCGCGGAGAACAGCACCAGGCCGCCGACATCCTTGACAGCCTCCAGGCTCAGGCTGGCGCTGGGCTGGCAGGACAGCTGCCGCTGGCGCCGCGCCAACCGCCGCTGTGCTGCCTGCAATGGAGTGGGCGCAGCGGCGGGTGAGCACGGGCTGCCGCCACAGGGCATGGGAGGAGCGAGGCGGGGCCGGGCAGGCGGCGGCGGCGGGGCGCAAAGATGGCGAGTGGCTTCACCTGTCGGCCCACCTGGGCCTCTCGCCATCTGCTTTGGCTGTGAAAGAGGACGGCTTTTTTGACATTGAGCCGCGGTGCAGTGGCAGAGTTGGTGCGGCTTGGCAGGGCCATTGCGAGAGGAGCGAGCGGTTTTGCAGCAGCTTCGATGTGTCAAGATGGATGCTTCCTGGCGCGATGATTGGTGGGTTTGAACGCCGCCATCCATGTACGGATGAAGTACAGCGGGCCTCCGTGGGCCTTGGACATGCTCGACCCAACCTCGTTGGAGCCTGCCTTACAGGTGGCTCGCCTTGGAGTGGCCACTGCTGCTGGAGTGCACACTCCACCCACCAACACATCCAGGCAGAGTGCTGCTGGAGAAGACCTCAGCCACAGTGTGGCTGCCAGCACAGAAGCAAACCAGGCTGCTGGGCTGCGAGGCCTGGCATGGCGGAATCGGCGGCACACAATGCGCGGCAGCTGCCGCCGGCGCTGCAGCCGCCGGCGGATCTGGTGTTGGGTCTGGCGCATCGCTCTCCCAAGTACCTGCCCTGCAGGCAAGCAGGGCTGGAGCTGCTGCTCTCGGCCTCCACCGGTTTGGGCAGCCGCCAACCTATGTTATCTTAAACGCAGGTTCCTGTACGACGACAAAGGAAGCTCCTTGTATGAGCGGATCACTGGCCTGCCCGAGTACCTGCCGTACCGCACCGAGCAGCAGCTGCTGGTGCAGCAACACATGCCGCCTCCATCGCGGCACACCTGCCCCCGGGCGGCGTAGTGGTGGAGCTGGGGTGCGGCGACAGCAGCAAGACAGCCATCCTGCTGGAGGTTGCGATGCGCGGGCGGCGCGGCGCGGGCCAGCTGCGCTTCTGCGGCGTCGACTGCTCGGCAGAGGCGCTGCGCCAGACGCAGCGCAACCTGCGGCGCCTGCTGCCGCAGCTGCCTGAGGAGCAGGCAAGTGCTGGGTGGGTGGTGGGCAGGACTGCAGCCAGCCAGCCAACCTGGTCCACCTCGGCTGCCAGCAGGATGTGCGCAGCCTGCTTGTAGCAACCATAAGCACATTTCTGATGAGCCCCACGCTCCACCCAGGCTTTGACCGACTGCCCTACCTCGCACTGTACTGCACTGTACCGCACAGGTGGAGCTGTACACGGCAGAGTACCTGGCGGGGGTGGCTGCGGTGCGGCGGCGCCACCCAGACGCGCTGCTCACCTGTTTGTGGCTCGGCAGCTCGGTGGGCAACTTCAGCGGCGGCGAGGCCGCCAGCTTCCTAACTGAGCTGCGGCGCGTTGCTGGCGAGCGCTGCCAGCTGCTGCTGTGCACCGACCTGTGGAAGGATGAGGGGGTGCTGCGCAGGGCGTACGACGACAGCCAAGGTCGGTGGACTGCGGGGTACCGGAGGGGCCGAATGCGAAGCAGCCTGCTGCACCCTTTCCAGCCAGCGCCCGTCAAACCTGCATGGAGCCCTGAGACAGGCTGCTGGCTGGGCGTTGCACCTCCCACCGCCTGCAGGCGTGTCGGAGGCATTCATCCTGAACGGCATGCACCACGCGCTGGGCACGGTGGGCCACCCCGATGCGTACTGCCAGGGCCTGTGGCAGTACGGGGTGGTGGTGAACAGGGAGCTCAAGCAGGCGAGCCTGGCCGCTGGGGCTGGGGTGCACAGCCCTCCAGCATGCATGCGCCGGTCGCTGCATCAGGCGTAGGCTTAGGGACACGGCACATGAGCTGAACGGTATGGAATCAGTGGGCTGGCTTATGGCGTATGGACCTGTAGCAGCCTATCGCCTGAGCTGCAGGTGGAGATGTATGTTCGGGCGCAGCGACGGGTGGCGGATGTGCTGCCGGGCGTGCATGTGGAGGAGGGGGAGCGCGTGCTGGTGGAGATCAGCCGCAAGTTCACGCCAGACGGTGAGGCAGCCCCCCGCCCTGGCTGTGGCAGACTGGTGCAGGCATCATGAGGAGCCCTAGACGTTAGGCAGGCCGCTTGCTGCCCTGTGAAACCGAACAGGCCCTGGAATATTAATGTTGCCCTCTTCCCTGCCCACCAGCTCACCTGCCCTCAACACTGTCGACGTGCGTGCAGCGGTCGCTGGCATGGCGTTTGAGGCTGGCTGGTGCCCGGGCGCCGCCTGGGGCAACTGCGCCTACCGCATGCAGCTGCTGCTGACGCCCGAGCTGGCGCTGCAGCGCTGCTGGCGGGACACAGACAGCCTGTTCAGCGGCATCCGCGACTGGCAGGCGCAGGTGGCTTGAGTCGCCAGGCTCTGCCTCGCAAGGCATGCTGGCTGTCTTGCTATGCTTCGATGCAATACCGCGGCGTGTGGCACCACCCTGCAACATCTGGTGCTTGCTCTCTTCCTGGCGCATGCTGTGCAGCCCATCGGGCTTCGCCATCCCTTCTGCTTCTATTTTGGACACGTGGCGGCCTTCAGCAGGCTCAAGATGCTGCCACAGGCAAGCGCTGGCTGGGGCGCGCCACGGGAGCCACGGCCCTCCAGCATGCCGCTTGCTGCCATCGTTTGTGCAGGATGCCGCTTCTGAGCTGGACTCCATGCTAAGCCGAGGCATCGACCCGCCCGTGCTGGACCCAGCGCAATGCCACAGCCACCCGCCTGTGCCGCCCAGCTGGCCCAGCCGGCAGCAGCTGCTGGGGTATGTGGCTGCGGTGCGCCAACAGCTGCTGGCCGCTGCCCGGCAGGGGGTGCACGCCAGCGCGACGGGCAACAGCAGCGGCTCGGCAGGCGTGGACATGCGCTGTCTGTGCATGGCGCTGGAGCATGAGCGCATGCACCAGGCAAGTGGCGCGGCGCACGCAAGACGCCCCACCTGCTCCTGCATCTGTCTCATTCTAGCTTTATGCATGCAGCATGCTCAGATCTCACCTCGCCGATGGGCCTGGCGCAGGAAACTCTGTGCTACATGCTGGCGCAGCAGCGCAAGGCTGACGCCGCTGCCACGACCAGCGGCCAGCCGGACGCTCTCCCGGCCTCCACTCCTGCTGGGCACGGCGGTGTTGGTGTCAGCCTGCCGGCTGCCGACAGCAGCGGCGACGGGCTGCTGCACGAAGCGCCCAGCGCTGCGGATGTGCCTCCTTTCTACCTGGAGCAGTGCAGCTACCTGAGTGCTGCTGTGCCGCCGGTCGCCTCCCCATCATCCCACCCAGCGCCGCTTGTCTGCAGCAAGAATGGCGCTGCTGACACGCAGCCCCTGGTGCCAACCACGCCGGCCAAGGCTTCAGAGGTTGTGACCAAGCAGCTGGCGGCTATGAGGGTTGGCGGCCAGCTGGCCCAGTCGCCCGCTCCCCGCACCGCTGCCCCTAGCAGCTCCACGCCCAGCTCCACGCCCGAGGGTTTTGTGCTTGTCATGGGCGAAGAGGTGAGAAGAGGTGCAGCTGCTGCCTTGGGCCGCGTGGGGGACCAGCCCGAAGCTGGTGTGTTGCGCAGCACTGCTGCCTGACTCCCAGCAACCCCTGGTGGCATCCCGCTGTGCAGGTGCAGCTGGGGGTGGACCCGGCGGGGGACCACGGCTTCCTGTGGGACTGCGAGCTGGGGCGCCTGGCCCCCCCGCCTGTGGGCAGCCTGCTGGTGGCCGAGGCCGCTGTCACCGTGGCCCAGTTCCGCAGCTTTGTGTTTGAGGAGCGGGTAGGGCCAGGGCGGGGCGATGGGCGTGTGGCTGTCCAGGATGCCGAATCAAACGGCTGTGCTGGCTGCTGCTGTGACGTGCCATGTGCCTGCGCTGGCTCTTCACACAGTGCGGGCCGGCTGGCGTGCCGTGCAGGGCTACGAGCGGCCAGAGCTGTGGGATGCAGGAGCGTACCGCCACCTGCAAGCCAGCAGGCGCAGCCTGCCGGCGACCTGGTCCCTGCTGGGCAGCGCTCCCACGGCAGCTGGTGACCCCGCAACTGCCAGTGGCGCCGCGCTGCACCTGTGGGTGCACCTGCCTGAGGGCAGCTACTGCTGGGAGGAGGTGGCCTGCTGCCCGGTGTATGTCAGCCAGGCGGAGGCGCAGGCCTACTGCAGGCTGCACGGCGGGCGGCTGATGACGGAGGCCGAGTGGGAGCTCGCGGTGGGCAGCGATGCGGTGGCCAGCGGCGCCCTACGCCAGCTGGAGGCCGGGGGCTGGGAGTGGACTTCCAGCGTCCTGGAGCCGCTGCCAGGTGAGCGACAGCAGAGCTGCAGCGTGAGGGTGCGTAGGGTGCATGGCCCTGGCAAACACCGCCTCGGTATGCCACCCTTCAAGTTGGCTGGCCGCCGCCGCCGCCGCCACTTGGTAACACTTGTGCCGCCGTGCTGCTGGCCATGTGCAGGCTTCCAGGCCGACCCCCTTTACCCAGAGTACAGCGTTGATTTCTTCGATGGCCAGCACTATGTGCTGCGCGGCGCCAGCCCCTACACTCACCCGAGCATGGTGCGGCGCAGCTTCCGCAACTGGTACCAAACGCTCTACCCCCACGCCTTTGCCAAGTTCAGGCTGGTGCGGGACGCGACGTAGACAGCACCGGCAGACATTTGAACTAGAGACTTTTGAACTAGAGATTTCGAACTAGAGATTTTTGAAACTAGAGACTGATACATTGCATATGATAAACTAGCGATGATATGACTTGCACATGACTTCCCTACCCCACGTGGCGGGCGCCGCTGCCCCGCCTTCACCTGCCTTTTGCGGTTGATTTTAAGCTGGACAACATGTAAAGAACCCCCCTCGTCGCTGGACGACGCAACGGGCAGCAGGCATCAAACCAACTGAAATGCATTCAGTCTACTGGCGCCTGCCGGTCGGCTCGGCGCCTGCCGGTCGGCCTCGGCGCCCGCACGCGAGGCGCCGCCCGCGCCCAAGCCTTGCACACAGCCGTGCACCAGCGCCCTTCCAGGGTAAGCCCTGTAAGCAGCTCCACATAGCACGCCCTTACAGATTCACTTCAGCTTCTGAGCCGGGAGAAGCGGCGCTGCAAGGGTGCCACGCGCTGGCCAGACAGGGGCCCGGCTTGCAGAAGCCCAGGCATCGGGCCTTGACGCCATGTTCAACGTCCTTGGAGGGCGCCTTAGCAACCCCTTCCTGCAGGCCAGATGGCACAGTAGCAGGCGGACGTCCCCTGCTACCTCGGCAGCTCCTGCATGTCCACTCCAAAACTAGCTCATTTTTTTTTAATTAGCTTGCACACAGCAGGCCCTACCACTTCCCACAGCTGCAGACCGTGCTGCAACGCCGCCCAGGCCCCGCCTCCTGAGTCCAACCCCTAGCATGGCCAGGCCCCGCCTGCTCTAGCCACAGCCACCCGCTCCCAGTGCACTCCAGCAGGCGCAGGGCACCGGCGAGGCCCAGCACCTCGTCCCCCGCGGCCCGCCGGGCAATTCACCCTCTACATGGACATCGCGGCGTCCGTGGCGGCCGTGGTGGACAAGGCCCGCACCAGTTGGCTGAAAAATGCAGAAGTGTTGGAGCTGCTGGAGGGCTTCGCAGGGGCGGGTCTCGCAGTCTGCCAGGAGCCGCCCGTGAGGCCAGCAGGTGCGTGCTGGCCGGCTTCATGGCGGCCGCAGGGACGGAGAGGGACCGGGGCCGGTCGAGCATGGCTGCCATGGCGCCCCCGCTCCGGCGGCGCGGTCGTGTGGCGCACGCCGTCCGTCTGACGGCCCTGCCTCGCTTCTGTGCAGGCGGCCAGCTCTTCCTCTTTGACAGGCGCATCTGCCGCTTCTTCCGCCGCGATGGGCACACGTGGCGCAAGAAGCCCGACGGCAAGACCATCAGGGAGACCCACGAGAAGCTGAAAGGTGCGGTGCGGTTGTGTGCGGTGCGGCCCTGCAGGCTTGCTGCCCCTTGCTCTCCCCTGCACCAGCCTGCCTGCCTGGCTGCGCATCCGGCCCTCGCTGACGTCTGCGACGCCATTTTCCGCGCCCTCCCTGCTGCAGTGGGCAATGCGGAAACGCTAAACTGCTACTATGCACATGCCGACCAGGAAGATGGGCTGCAGGTGCGCTGGGGAGCAGCAAGCAGCAGCAGCAGCAGCAGCAGCAGCGGGGTGGGGCGGCCTTGCCTGTGCGAGGTGTTATGGCCCCTCCACATGAATGCACAGTACCTGCCTGAAGCAGTCGCCCGCGCGGCCTCCCTGCCCCTGCCCTCCCGCCCCCGCAGCGCCGCTGCTACTGGCAGCTGGACCCAGAGAAGGAGCACATCGTGCTGGTGCACTACCTGTGCTGCGCCAGCAGCCGCGCCGGCACGCAGCGCGCGGCGTCGGCTGAGCTGGCGGGCGACGTGGCGGCGGGGTGCACGCCCCGCCCGCAGCGCGCCTCGCGCCAGCAGCACCGCCGCGCCTACTCGCCGCCGCCCGGCGCGGCGTCGGCGGCCGGCGGCCGCCGCCGCGGCGCCAGCCAGACCAAGCTCTCCCCTCTGGCCACCGCCGCCTCCCTAGAGAGCGACCTGGTCAGCCAGGGCAGCGGGGAGACGGAGCTGCCGCTGGTACAGGGCATGACGCTGGAAGCTGCCGCTGCGCTGCCCTCTCTGGCGCAGCAGTATGCGATGCAGCAGCAGGCGGCGGCCGTCGTGCAGCAGCAGATGCAGCTGCAGCAGCTGCTGCAGAGCGGCGGCAGCGGCGGCAGCGGCTCCGGCAGCGGCGAGTTCGATCCCTTTGCGCTGCCCGCGGTGCCGGAGCACCACCGGCCGCTGCCGGGCGTGCTGTACACAGACCAGCGCGTGGCCACGCAGCTGTCGGCAGCAGCCGCCGCGCAGCAGGTGGGTGGCTGCAAGGAGGCTGCTGCCGCCGCCGCCGTTGTGGCCCAGTCTGCCGCGGCTGCGGGTCCAGGGCCCGAGCGGAACGGGCCCACTGAGCACGCCACCCACACCCGTGCCCTGCCCTGCGCCCCCTGCCTGCTGCAGGCCTCGGTCCACTCCCCGCTGCTGCCGCCGCGGCCGCTGATGAAGCAGGAGAGCTTCCAGGCCGACCAGCACAAGGCTCTGTTCCGAGAGATGTCGCTGGGCATCCAGGTGGGGCTCGGCTGCCCCGCTGGCAGGCGGCCAGGCGCCTGCACCCCACCGCCGGCGCTGCCGCCGCGCTGGAGCGCCTCGCGCGCCCGCCTCCCGCCCCGACGCCAGCCCGCGCCGGCTAGCCGATGCCTGGCCTGCCCCCGCCCGCGCCCTCCCTGCCTGCAGCGCGAGGCGACAGAGGAGGGCGGCTACTTCCTGGGTTCGCCGGGCGAGCCGGACCCTCTGGGCACCGACAAGGCGGCAGCCAGCACCCCCGGCCCCGACCTGGCCGCCCTGCTGGCGTCGCCGCCCCACGGCGGCCACCGCCGCAGCTTCAGCCGCCAGGGCTCCGGCCTGTCCCGCCTCATCAGCAAAAACTGGGAGAACGATGTGGTGAGTGGCGGTGGGCGTGGGGGAGGAGGCATGTGTGTGGGGGTGTGGGCGGCCGGAGCCAGCTGCGCGCCGCACGGCGGAGCCCGGCGAGCGAAACGCAGGGTTGCGGGAGTTGCACGCCTCCCTTCAGCTCTGCTCACCGGCCCCTTCCCCTTCCCTCCCGCCCCTGCCCCGCGTAACAGATGGAGATGATGCTGCCTGACGTGGACTCCGACATCAGCGCCTATCCCATGGAGCGAGTGGTGGTGGAGGTGGCGCAGCGGCCCAGCAGCCCCGGCTCGCGCCTCTTCGACCAGGCCGGCATCGCCTTTTTCGGCAGCGCACACAGCGCCGCCACCGCGGTGCAGCACGCGCTGGAGCCCTCGCCGCTGGGCGTGCCCGGCCTGGCGCCCGCCGACGAGGCGGCGGCGGCCACGCGGCGGCGGCGGCGGCGCCGCCGCCGCCGCGCGCCACCTCCCCTTTGCCAGCCCCGCCCAGCTGGCGCCCGGCGGCGAGTCGCCGCTGGAGTTTGCTGCGGGGGAAGCGCACGCCAGGGCGCAGCGGCCGCGCCTGGCGCGGGTGTCTGGCGCGGGCATGCCTCGCAGCGGCAGCCACCCCCATCTGGCGCACCTGGCCAAGCGGCCCGGCGGGGCCGGCGCCGAGGCGGGCAGCGAGGAGGAGCGGCGCAAGGAGCGGGTGGATGCTGCGGCCGTCGCCGCCGCCTATGCCGCGCAGGAGCACCGCGACGAGAAGCTGGCGGCGGTGCGCAGCCAGCGGGCGGCCAGCAGCACGGAGGCAGAGGTGAGCCCCGGCGCCCGCCTGCCCGCCTGCTCCTGCTGCGCCGCGCGCCGATGAGCACACACGGCAGGTGTTGCTGCCTGGTGGGGCCGTCCTGGCTTTGCTGACGGGAGCGCGTGGTGCCCCTCACACTGCCCTCCCTTCTTTCCTCCCTCTGCCAGCAGGACACGCTAGAGATGATTGATGTGCCCGAGAACCTGCAGCGCCTCAGCTCCTTCCTGCACCGCGGCCCCGCCTCGGGCGCGCGCCTGACGCTGGGCCGCGAGCTGGCGGCGGCCGAGGCGTCTGCGGTGGCTGACCTGGAGCTGGAGGCTCGCAGCCTGCTGAAGCACATGAGCATCGGTGAGGCCCCGGCTGGGCTGGGCGTGGGGGGATGGCCTGGCGGGGCGCGGCGACGGCCTGGCAGACAGCTGGCGTCTGGTCGGCAGCCTGGAGAGCCAAAAAACAGGCTGTGCGTTTGCTGACCGGCGAGTGTGCCTCCTGGTCTCCCCACCCCCTACCCCCCGCGCGCGCCTGCAGACGAGGTGGACGCGGTGGCTGCCGTGCGGGATGCGGCCAAGGAGCTGGAGGTGATGCCCACCATCTACGCCGCGCCCAGCAGCGAGCTGGAGGCGGCCAGCGGCGCGCCCAGCCACCGCGACAGCCAGTCGGAGGAGCTGGGCAGCCGGGGCCACTCGGCGACCAGCCTGCTGGACGGCCTGCAGGTGGCGACGTCGGGGGTGGCGGGGCAGCCGCTGGACCCCATTGCCCAGCAGCTGCAGGCCGCCATGGCGCAGCACGCCGCGCGCCAGGCAAGGTGACGCCCCGTGCCCCGCGGCCCCTCCTCCTCCCCGACTGCCAGTTTTGACCGACCCAACAACTCAATCACACGCACCCCACCCCCCTCAAATAGACCCTCGCCACTGCCACGGCCGGTAGCAGCGTGCATTCCCGTTGCCGCGATGCCTCTGCCTCCCTCTTTTTCCCCAAGCCCTGCCCTATTGCCTGCTTGGCCCCGCTCGAGCTGCCGTGTTTTGTCTTTCTCTGGGGTTGCTGCCTCCTGGCTCATCTGCCGCAACAGGCAGTGCGGCTGTGCACCGCGCCCTCCAGCTCAGCAACTGAGCCCCCCCCACCCCTCGAGCACACTCCACAAGCAGTCGGCTCTGTTGTTGTGCCAGCGGCGCCCTTTTCCGCGCGCCTGCTTCGCACCGCAGCACTGCCATTTTGATTTGTCCCCCCCGATCTGTCCCTTCCATCAAACTTGCTTGCCCCCGCTGAATATTGTTTCCACGAATCGCACAGGCGCCCAGTGTACCTGCCCCCTGCGCCGCCGCCCGTATGCAGCGACCCGTAGCGCGCTGCCCTCCATAGTGTTCTCGTGCCGCCCCATTCATTGCCTCCCTGTAAATTTGTACAGACGAGCGTCTCAGGGACCTGGGGGAGGGGACATAGGAAAGTGGGCACACTGCAGAAAGTGGGCAGAAGGGTTCTCGTGCCGCCGCCAGCTCCGCCGCCGCCAGCTCAGCTCCTGTCCAAGAAGAAACAGGTGGCGGAGAGCGGGCTCAGGGGCGATCGACGCTCTATGTGTCGCGCCAGCCCTCTTTTGGGACTTTGCTTTCGCCATGTCGGAGCCCTCACGAATGCCAAGGAGCGCATGGCCCCAAGCGGGGTCGCCCGTGCCCCTCACCCTTGGTCAGAGACGCATCCAACCATTTCACGAAATGTCGCTGCAGCGCCGCACCCAGTGGGCACTGGCGCTGGTTGGTAGCGGGCGGGCGGCGCTGGCGGCACTGGCTCGGTGAGTCGCCCTCCATCTCTCCTCTCCCGCCCAACCCATGCATCCGCTCATCCTGGTCCTCACCTGAACAGTTGCCTTACGCTGCAGGCGTGTGCTGCTGTCGGCGGGGTGGTGGCTGGCCGCCGCGCTGAGGCGCCCGCGCCTGCAGCGCCGCCTCCCCTTCACGCTACGGCGCTGGCACCTGCTGCTGGGCTCGGTGTTGGCCTACAAGCTGCTGCGCTCGGGGTGCACCGCTGTCTGGTCACTGCTGGGCAGCTGGGGGCGGCGGGAGGAGAAGCAGCGGCTGCAGCGGGCGCTGCGCTTTGCTTCCAGCTACAGGTGCACCGGCGCCTGCATCTGGCATGCTGCGTTGGCAGCATCGGCATCATCGGCAGCATGGGACCTGCGCGCTGCAGCCCAAGCGTCGGTTGTTTCTGCTGCCCTGCCTGCCCGCAGTGAGTGGGTGAAGGATGCCGTGGCGCTGGACGAGATGAGCAGCAGGCGGTGCCAGGCTGGCTCTCCCAAGGAGGTGGGGTGTGCCGCCAGGCGCTGCCAGTGACCCACCCATGTCATGTGTGGCGCCGCGCATGCACACCACTGTGCACCCGCCGCTCCTGCCGCCTCCCTGAGAATCACCCCAGACCCTCCATTTTCTGACCCCCTCCCTTTCCTGCCACCCTCCCCGCCTCTGCCGCCGCAGGTGCGCAGCCGGCGGCAGCTGCAGCAGCGGGCGGCGGTGCTGGCCAAGCTGCGGGAGAGCGGCGACATCACGGGGCTCAGCTTTGCGCTGCGCCTCGACTACCTGCGCCAGGCGGGCAGCGCAAGCACCAGGTGGGGCGCACCGCCTGGTGCCCCGCCTCGCAGCTCCTGCTGCGCACTGTTTGCTGCCAGGCCCCTGGTGTGGCTCCACACCACTCTTCTCCGGTGCCTGCACATGCCACTGCGTGGCACCTGCCTGCCTGCCACCTCTCATGGCCCTTGCAGCGCGCTGATGGAGGCGGCGGGGCACTGCCCGGTGCTGCCGGCGGCGGTGGAGCGGTACATCGAGGAGGTCAAGCGCTGCCTGCACCACATCGCCAGCTGCCCAGGCGCGGGAGGGGTGGCTTGCCGGCTGGCTTGCCGGCATTGTGGGCCGTATGTCGCTTGGTCACTTGAGGGCCGCGGGTTCTGAGCGCCAGAACACTGCGCAGCCTGTGGGAGCCGCCGCCATCTGCTCCTTCCTGCTTGGCCCCCTGCCACCCCCACCCCAAACCCCCACCTCCACCCCTACCCCCTGCCTCTACCGCCGCAGACATGGCTCTGGAGGACCGGCTGGCGTTCCTGCGGGAGCTGCGACATGCGTACGGCCGCACTGGCCTGGTGCTCAGCGGCGGCGGCAGCTTTGGCTTCTGGTGAGGCGGCAGCCTGGCGCGGCGCGCCCCGGCATGGTGGTGCTCCCTGGCCCGCCCTCGGCGCCATGGCGATACCATCAACGAATGGGTCTTCTTTCGTCAGCCTGTCGGCGCCGACCAGGCCTCGCCCTACCCCTGCCCCCTGTCCCTGCCCCCTGCAGGCACTTTGGCGTGGTTCGGGCGCTGCTGGATGCCAACCTGCTGCCGCGGGTGGTGTCAGGCAGCAGCGCAGGCTCCATCGGTGCGAGGGTACCCCTGGCTCCGCTGCTGTGCGGCGCTGTGACCGTGGCGTGCCTGCCTGGCTGGCGCGGCGCGCCCCGTGCCGTCTGGTGGCTGCCAGGCTGCTGACTCGGTAGGGAAGCGCGGCGGCGGCACCCATCCCGCGTCGTGCCCTGCGCGCCCTTGCCGCAGGCGCCTCGCTGCTGTGCACACGAACGGACGAGGAGGTGCATGCGCTGGTTGCAGACTTCCCTAGGACCAGCGGCCTCGACTTCTTTGTGAGTGCCACCCGCCCCGTGCAACAACAGTGTTGTCCGTGCCACGCCGCGGTGCCGAGCCGCTCCGCCTCGAGCCACTCCGCCTCCTGCGAGGCACAGCAGTGGCTCCCTGGGTCCCTCGGGTCCTGCCGCCACCCACCCCGCTGCCGCCGCCGCTCCCGCTGCTGCAGGCCAACAACAGCAACTCGGCACTCATGCGCCACCTGCTGTCCAGCGGCTACATCCAGGACCATGGCTTCTTTGCCGGCAGGCTGCGCAAGCTGCTGGGAGACCTCACGTTCCTGGACGCGTACCAGCGCAGCGGTGCGTGTGCGGGCTGTTGGCCAACTGCTGCCTGCTGCTCAGCACTGCTGCTGGTCGCTGCGAGGATCCTTTCACTCAATGGTGTGTGGCAGCAGTTCATCCAACCACACAGCTGCTCCTGCACCAACCTGTGCCGTGCAGGGCGCATCCTGAGCATCTCGGTGACGGCAGCAGACACCAAAGAGCCATCCCGACTGCTCAACTACCTGACAGGTCTGGCCTGAATATTCTGTGCCTGTTGGCGCCTGTTGGCTGTTGAATGGGTCTAGGCCCGCCCCTCATAACTGATCTAACTGCCCGCCTGGCCTGCCTGCCCGTGCAGCTCCCAACGTCCTCATCTGGTCGGCGGTCGCCTGCTCCTCGGCATTCCCCTTCCTCTTTGCACCGCAAGACCTGCTCGCCCGTGACGCCGGTGCGCTGCGTGCTTGCTGTTGGTCCTGGGTGGGCAGGGGAGGCCGCGCCGCACCACAGGGGCATGGCTCAGCATTGCAGCTCAATTCCAACGTCATGCTGCCCCCCGCTGCCGATCCAGCTGGCAACATCGTGCGTTTCTCCGAGATGGGTGCGGCGCAGTCGCAGCGGCGCTGGTGCGATGGCAGCTTGGAGGAGGATTTGCCGATGAGGGGCCTCAGCCAGCTGTTCAATGTCAAGTGAGTGGGGGCCTTTCTGGGGCACGAGGGATGGGTTCTATTTTGCACAGGAACATGTGCAGAGTTCTGATAATGTCAGTTTGGCTGGTGGCGGCGGTGGTCATTTCTTGGCTGCCAACGGCACTGAGGCGCCCACTGCTCGCCTTGCCCTGCCCACCTGCAGCTTCTTCCTGGCTTCCCAGGTGCGCCTGTGCCAACCGCTCCCGCCCTGCTGGCAGCGCCACTCCGCCAAGCGCACTTGCCCGTGGTGTTTGCATTTACAGCATGCGCTGCCTGGTGGCACGGCGTGCCCAGCGGCCTCCCTCCTCTGCTGCGTGCTGCAGGCGAACCCATGGATCATCGGCATTGTGTCCCTCAAGAACCTGCTGCCTCTTGCCATGGGCAGGCTTCTGGAAAGCGAGTTCAAGCACAGGCGGGTCACAAGGGCGCGGGCTGGCAAAGGGGCTGGGCGCCTCTGCCATCCAAGCAAGCGCCTTCCCAAACCCCCAGGCTTGTCTGCTCCCTCCGCCCCATGCCCCCTGCAGGTGCCAGCAGCTGCTGGCCGTCTGGCCCAACACCCGCCTCCTCAAGATGCTGTCCCAGCCGTGGGAGGGCGACATCACGGTGGCGCTGCCGCCCACCGCATTCCCCCTGGGCAAGGCAGCCATGAACTTCACGCAGGACGACATCTGGGAGGCAATGCGACACGGCCAGCAGGCGGTGTGGGCCAAGCTGCCCGCCATTCAGGCACGCCAACCCCGCTGCTGGGCGCTGTGGCGCAGCCCGCGAGCCAGGACCCGCACCCTGGAGCACCGTGGGCCGACCGTGTCGCCTCCTCCCCACCCCACTGCCGCCAACCCCACCTCGCACCGCCCTTCTGTTGTGTTCCCGCAGGCTGCCTGTGCCATTGAGATATGCATCGAGGAACTGATGCAGCGGATCGCGCTGCAAGTGCGGCAGCAGGCCAAGCTGGAGAGGGCAGCGGTGCAGGCAAGCCAGGTGTGCTTGCCATGCCGTCCCGTCACGTGCTGTCATGCACGGCATCTTGCCTGCTGCCCTTTGGCTTGCGTTCAAACGCTCTGCCACTCCTCAGACATGTTTCCTCCTGCCTGTCTGCTTGCAGCGACGGGCACTGGCCGGCGGCGGCATGAGGGGCTCCCTGCCATCCTGGCTGCACATGCCTTCGCTAGGTGAGCCCTTTGCTCCTGTGTGCAGCCAGAAGCAGTGTAATAGCTGCGGAGTCTCTGCATCACGGCTGCTGCTCCTGGTGTTTTTTGCAGGGCTGCCCACGGTTGATTCGGAGTGCAGCCTTGCCGCCAGCGCACGCCCCGAGAGTGCAGCCAGCCTGTACCCGGCAGGGCAGGAGGCAGGCACCGCCGCGGTGGCAGGCAGTGCGCACGCATGGGAGGGGCAGCCGGGCGCGTTACGAGGCCTACGCCGGCACCCAAGCAGCTCCAGGAGCAGCAGCAGGGAAGGCAGCGGGCATGCCGGCAGCGCAGCGCGGGTTGCCCTGGGGATCCCTGTGGCGGCGTTAGACGGGCAGGCGGCAGCCGAGGCCGCCGCGGCTTGCGGTGTGCAAGCCACGGCAGGGCAGCTGGCGGTAGCAGGCGTTGAGGTGGCTGCCGAGGCGCTGGCAGAGCTGGAGCCTAGCACCCCGACGGCACAGGTGGTGGATGAGGGGGCGGCGACAGAGGAGGGGGAGCTGTTTGAGAGCCCCAGGTATGTGTGGCGGGGTGGGGTTCTCATTGCGGGCACATCTATGCCACTGCCCACTTGCATGTGTTCCTTGGCCTGCAGCCAAGCATGGAAGGACTTGGTTGTGCTCAGCGGCATCAGCGCAGCTGCGGGCGGGCAAGGGGCGGGCTCCCTGGACTCATTTGCCTACTGACCGAGCCCCGCCTCAGAGCGAGGCTCATTTGCACAGCTGTTCCCTAGCTCGATAGCACGCCTCCGTTGGTGCATCCTGCATTCACCAGGGTTGTATGGGATCATGGGAGTGCTCTGCTGAGTTGCATACATGAAAGGCATGGCGCGACACATTAAGGCGGCTCGAGGGGACTTGTGGCACATAAATCCACCTGGGAGATTGAAAAAAGAGCCACTCAAAGCGTAAAACTTCAGAAAAGCGAAAAAGTTTGTCCTGCTGTGCCTGCTGCCACGTGCTCCCGCGACAGCATCTTACAGCCGCCGCCGCGCGCCTACAAACAGCACATACATAGCAGGTTCAGACTTTTGCCACGCAGGCGACGAGAGGCGGCGTCGGTGCGTAGGGGAGCACTTGTGCACGAGGATGGGGTGCATAGGCAGCAAGTCTGCGGTGGAAGATCAGAAGAAGAAGCCTCCAGGTGCGATCCGCACGGCCGGCTGGCACCCGCCGGCCAGGGTTGAAGGCATACGTCGGGTGCGGCGGCGGCGGCGGCGGCCTCCATTCCACCGCCGCTCGCGTGGGCGCTGGGAGCTGGCTAGTGACTGACCCAGCCCAGCGTGCTTTGCAGATGATGATGAGGTGGTCAAAGATGCCAGCATGGCAGAGCAGGATGTGGCGGATGTGGCGGTGGCGGCGCCCTGGGCGGATGAGAACCCGTCGTCGCGCGGCCCCCTCGTCGGCTTCCGCCACACCTCGGGCCTGCGGGTGGGCGTGATAGAGGTGAGCGCAGCCGGGCCCAGGCAGGGATCGCTGCGCATCCCAGCAGCTGCCCCGCCGCCGCCGCCAAGTAGCCTGCACGCATGTGCCTGCTGCTGTGGCGGTGCTGGCAGCTTGTGCGCCTCTGGGCCCTCCACTCACCCCCCCGCCTGCCTGCCTGCCTGAGACAGAGCAAGGAGACGTCTGTGACGCTGCTGAACGACTACATTGTGCTGGGGGCTCTGGGCAAGGGCACGTACGGCAGCGTGAAGCTGTGCTACAGCATGCAGGACGACAACCTGTATGCACTCAAGGTACCGCCTGGGACTGCCTGGTGCTGCCAGCTTGTTACAGCCCAGCTGGATGCGCCATGCCGCCCTTCTGCAGCCAGAGGGGGCAAGAGGGGGATGGGCGTTGCCGAGGCATCGCGAGCTGCCGCCAGCCAGCCTGCCAGCCCGCCGACGAGAGCTGCACGCTGGCCATCGCAGGTGCTCCAAAAGGCACAGCTGAAGCGGCAGATGCTGGGCCCGCGCCCCAGCAGCAACAACGTGCCGGCCCTGGACATGCTGAGGTGCGCGGGGCTAAGCTGTCGGGCGGGCTTCTGGCCCCAGCGCTCCTTTGGCCGCAGCACTTTGCTCGCCTGGGCTGGCCCGAGTTGCCCCGACCCCTGGCCCCACTGCCTGCCCTGGTTGGCCCTGGGACGCAGGCGGGAGGTGGATGTGATGCGGTCCATGAACCACCCCAACCTCATAAAAATATTCGAGGTCATCGAGGCAGACAGCAAGGTGGGCTGGGGCCGTTTGCCTCCCGCTAGGAGGGAGCCGGTGCGGGGCCAGCAGCCCGAGGCACGGCACCGCCAGGCCTGCCGCTTGGCTGAGCTGCCTGCTGGGCGCCCCCTGCCCTCCCTGCGCAGGTGGTGCTGGTCCAGGAGTATGCCGAGGCGGGGCCGCTGCAGCAGGTGAGCGGCAGGCCCTGCCGCTTCTCCGCCAGCCCGCCCGCCTCCTGTTG